CTTGAAATATTCAGAGACTGTGAACTAAGATCCTTTATTTGAATTATTAAACAATGATAAAAGCAGACCTGTCTTTTTATATTATTCAGCAAATAATAACAGCATTTTTTCATGCCATTCTTGTATGGAAACTTGCTTGGAATCGGTTTTATATTGGGCAGTAGTATGGAGAATTCCTCTATTTATTTATTTTTCCCCTCATTGGAAGCAAGATATGGTTGTAGTGGGTATTAAAAGGACTGTGCATGGAACGGAAAGTGCAAAGAGGGTGAAGCAGAGTGAAAAGTGTTTTACGATATGAAACAAACTTGCTGTACCTTAATTTTAAAAAAAATTAAAAAAAAAGCTTCAGTCTAGGATGGAAAGAAAAAATGGATGGAATAATTTGGTATGGTTGATCAAAAAGTACATTTTTAAGTCGGCTCAAAATTTTACCCTTTTAGCCTTGGTTTACAATTTCTTCTCCAGCAGAACCTTTTCAGATCTTCAGCTAACCACCACTCATCCACGTGCTTTGTATTTGCTTTCATTTTCTGTCTCACATGTAAAGATAAAGTGAATTCTTATTTATGGAATAAACTTTTATATTTAGAATGTTTATTTCAGGAGTATACCTTTCTTAATAAAATGATATTTGAATTTTAAGAATTAAAAAGATATTTCAGAATGGCATTCAGTGAACATAAATGAACAGATGAGTACAAATATACAGGAAGAATGTCATAGAGCTGTTACAATTCATTTATTTCTCTATGACATGTAGAAAAGGTATGAATGAGAATGAGTATCTTCACGATACAAGAGATGCATTTGACCTGTTTTGATTATATCTTCATCAGAAATACATGATATAATTGAAACTGGCCAAATACATCTCTTGTATTGTGAAGATATTCATTATCATTCATACCTTCTCTACATTTGTCAACATGAATATGGTTCATTTCTATGACATCTCATGTTACGGGTAAACAGTGAAATTAATAAACTTGTCTAACTCTGCCTTGAATATGGCTTTTGTCATAAAACTGATTTGTTTCTGTGCTTGTTTTCATGAAAATGACAGTGGGAGATTTTCTAAAAAACAATTCTAGTATTGGAGAAATCTTCACAGTCCATTATGATTTCTTCAACTTACACCCCTTCAATCCCAGGGATCACCACAAACTTGGACCTCAGTCCTTGCCTCAACTAATTTTCCATGGTCTTTTCTTCTCCTTTCCTTTTCCTTCTCTTCTTCATCCCTTCTTTTGTCCACTTGTTGATTCATTTTTACTCTTTTCACGACATTACTTTGTCATAATGCCATGTGACCTTTGATGTCTGGCACATTTGTTTATTTTGGCCATTGACCATTCTGGAAATCTACAAACATCGACTTGTCAACCAAAAAACTTCTTACCCGGGGGCCTCTCCCCCAAACCCCCCATCCTATTACTATATTTTGAATACGCTGCTAATGACCTTAGATGTTGACGTGGCAGAAAATTTTCAATATATAAATAAATCATCAAGTTACAAGTTGCACCAGTTTTTATGTGAACATTTGTGAAAAAATATAACAAATTCCTCTCAGAATGGAAATTGGATCACTTGAATCACAAAATAAGATATATTCAGTGGGAATTCGTAAAAAAAAAATCTATGGATAACATCATACTGAAGCAAGGTGTTTTAATATTTCTTCCATAGAACTATTGTTAAAGTATGCCCTTAAAGCACAACTATTAAAGATATACGAGATATATTTCAACATCACCAGACTGCACAATTGCACAAT